AAAAAAAAAAAAAAAAAAGACAACGGGTGGACTAAAGCCTTCCATGTCCATCCTTCGATCATCCATCCGCCGGCGAACCTCCATTGCGATACTGCCATAACCGGCTGAGATCTTTGACCTTCAACGGCCGTCGCTCGTCTTGATCTCCTAGTCCTCGTTGAATAGCAGGGGTGGTCCTGTAGCCATCCGACGGGCGCTTATTGGTGACAAGCACCTCATTTCTCTCGTGCCTGACGTGTTTCGGCAGGATTTTCTCATACTCGACCGTTCTCGCCCCCATTTCCATAAATTCATTGGTGTCGAGGACTCTCCTGTCTGGTCCTAGCGTGAACATAGTGTCTAGATAGTGCTGGTTTAGCTGGTGGCCAGAACCCGACCGGACAAAGATCCGGCCCATATAGCGGTTGGGAACTCTGGCAAATTGCAACACCCCCCAAACACATACAAAATCGAAAGCATTGACATAGTGCTCAATGTGGAGAACACTTCTCTCCGCTTGCACCGAGGCATCCTGCTCAGATATCGTGAATTCGGTAGCGGGGGGCTCTCCGTAGCTCAGAAACGATTTGTACGGGTTGTTGAAGTGGTTGGCAGCGTTCCCAAACGTATATACTTCGAGTTTGCGCAGGACATTTTCTGGCAGCTCGTCCAGGAGCCAGTCGATGATCAGACTGCCCTCGATTCCACCTTGGCTGTGCAGGATCAGGACCACCTTCTCATACTTCGGATTCAACAGTGTCGCTTTCGTGATGGCATAGCCATCCCTTGTATCCGGCGTTGCGAATGTAAAGTTCCTTTGAATCAAGCACTCGATTACATCGAATACGATGCCGTCTCTGTAAGGGCGTTATATGTACATGTAACCAGGGAACTGTCAAGGGACAACGTACGTCGGATTATGCACGCCGATGATTTTCCGGCCAAAAGTATAGGCAAGCCGGTCGATGTTATTTTGCAGCCAATGTCGTCTATTCTAATAGGTAAGAGACACGGACACTGGTATATCTGGGTCGGAACACGCTCCCAACTTACCCGACCGCGACGCCATTGATAAACACCCAACATTCACGCTCATGTTCCGGTCGCTCCTCGATAGGGACTCGTGACTCGAGAACCTCGTCTGTATTATTGAAGACAAGAGCGCAGATGACTCGATTGATCCATACAAAGACCACCACATAGATTGAGATCCACAATGCCGGCACCATACACAAGAAACCAGCCATCACCGACAGTAAGAAAGCCACCTGGCACACAGCCAGGACGACATGTGCAATGACATTGAACGTATTCTCTGTCGAAGGGAATAGTTCGTCTAGCTCATCCGAGGAAGATAGCGGGAGTATTATTCCCGGCAGACACCATAGACTCCTGAGGACGAGGAGAATGTCGGCGCACAGCAACCTCAACGGCGACGCTGTATAGGGCAAGGGCGGTCTTCGTCCATTTTTCCTCTTCATGGGGGAAGCCATGACATATCAGCTTTGGTCAGGAATCGCGGCTTGAGCTTACAGCAGTATCCGCCAACAGTCGAACTTCACGTTCCTGTATTCATCTTGTGAGCGAACGGCAGAGGCCCAAAAAAATAGGGAAAGAGCGACGCACTTGGTTTAACTACTCTAGGAGACTTTTCGTGTGCAAAATCCGATCCGACTAACCTCGACATCCTTTCGTTTTAGTAAATCTGTCCCTCCAGTAAGGCGGGTTGAGCGTACCCCATGATAGGGACCATCATCCTCGGCAAGATCCACATGATGCTCCCTATTCATGCCCTAGACTCGGATTGAGAATGTGCCCAGACGCACTTGCATTTAGTGGCGGCTCCAGATGAGCTTTCATTGCCGCGGCCAAGCGACACAAGCTCGAATCGGATTAATCGGGGCTCGTCCAAATGATCGACATCCACTCATGTGATGATCCATGGCGCCCTCGCTACGAACTACTCCTAGGCGTCTCCATATTTCTTGCTGAACAATGATAAACACGGCTAACATACCCTGTCCTCGTCTTGCTTGTGGGCAAGGATCCAGGACCGTGTAGTCACAACTGGTCCAGGTAAGACTGTCCCCATGCACGACCTAAATCAGAGGAACAGGGATCAAGCGAAGCAAGCTGAAGGCCACATGTCTCCATGAGTCACCTTGGTCATGATAATTCACTTCGCTATATTGAAAGATGTCAGCTGATTGGGTATAGCGCGCGATTTAAAAAGAACCGCGCGTTCTACATCTGTCGTTAATACCCCGTATCATTCTTGGCGTTATTGAATACAACATACTTGCAACTAGGCATCAAATATACTTCTAATATACTTGGTAGGCCGGCCTAGAGCCTCCAGGGCTACTGATGATAGACTTGAAGTGTTCAATTTTGGAGATAAATCTCAGACGTTGCAAGCCAGCCCTACGATGTACATAAGCAGAACAAGGTAGCTCTCGATGGAGGACCAACGGTCAGACAGTGCAGAGAAAACAATAGCACGACTCGATGTAATATATTCTGAGATCTAATAGATAGGTCAAGGCGTCGCGCCAGAGTCTATAGGGGAGGTACCAATTCTTGGAATCCCAATTAGGGCTGCAGCCAGCCTGGAGCGGTAAATACAACGTCGGATTTCAGAAGTGCTCTGACTTCTTCTGTCTCTTCATTAGAAGCACGTCTACTGACACGTGATTCTATGAGGTTTAAAAGATTATATTATGCTCGATCACTATGGCCGGGCACCTCCTAGAGCCCTTTGTAGTAACACGCTAGCAGAGTAGGTAGACAGGGTCATCGTACACCTATCTAGCCTAACATTCCCTCCTACTTCCTCGCTGTCTTTGAATTTCTTCCTCTTCTTGTATCAGAGTCTCCATTCGGGGTGTATTCAATGGTAACCCTAAGGCATGGATCCCATCGCCTTATCTTGCAGAGCCCAGCTGACTTTCACCAAGATAGAACCTCAAAATTTCTAGCTCCACAGAGTCAAAGGACAGACATTAAGTCTCGAAAGATCTCTAATTATTCAATTGAGTACTTTGGAGGCTTGTAGAATTGTCAACTTATGCACTACAACATCGCCCAGGTTAGCCCATGGCGTTGCTTGTCGATGAGTTGCCAAGAATCATGCTATGCATTTATATCCAGAGTCGATGTACGAGAAACTCTTTTTGGCCCTATCAGGGCGTTCCATAGCTTCATATGAAGGTTAGGTATCGATCCATTATATAGAGATCTTCTATAATAGATCACAAAGTCAATTGATTAACATAGCAGCAATGACTGCAAAAGAAATCTTCCTTTCAGTCGTAATGAATGCAATATTAATTGGCTGATCCCAAGTCTTTGCTTTTTCTTTCTTTCCCCCCTTGCGTCAACCGCCGTCATCGTCGTCCTTTCCACGATTCTCGTTCCACAAAACCTCAACTTAGTCTCATCTACACATCCTACATACCTGCCGGTGCTGACCTGAGTAAAGATGATATCCAACGTCTTTCGTTTTCTAAATCAAGTAAGTAATAGTCGATCCAAGCACATTACGCCAAACTATTTTGACAGAAACCACCATTAATAGCGACCCGCTGCAGAGGTATGTCCCATTCCGTGCAGCCCGCATTTCAAGCACGATCAAATCCCTTATAACGGTCGTGAAACAGGCCAACTCGACAGACTGCCGATAAAGCCCGTGCAACATGGCTCGCGAGCCTGATCAAGGAAGTCAGCCAGGGCACCGGCGAGCTGCACCCTGTGCTGCAAGAATTCCAGCACCTCATTGAATCTAACCCACGCATCTACATGCTGTTCCAGTCCATGTGGGCCCAGGCACAGGAGCAGGGTCCGGACCGGAACCGTAGCCATGAAGTCCAAGACTACCAGCAGATGCTACAAGTGCTGAACTATATCATCACGCACGCACCGCCGTACACGGAAATCCTCGCTGGGGTTCCCATAATCGGGGTGTTCCAATACGCCATCCCGACAGTCAGCGGCTACGCTGTCTTCGTTGATCCGGAGGTCAACGCCATGCTCAAAAAGGTACTGGATGCGTGGAGCCAGTTTCTCTCCTCGCCGGAATCAGCATCTGTGCTCGATACCTCGTCCACGGGCTGGTTTGGGGACGGATCGATGCGCAAACTGATCAGCATGGGTAATGTCGGCGGCACGACCTACGAGTTTGACGAGCTGTTCGTCTGCGACCGCACGGCTCCCAACTACGGCTTCCGGTCTTGGGATGCGTTCTTCACGCGCCCGTTTAGAGAGAACATTCGGCCCGTCGCCTCACCAGATGACGACGCTGTCATCGCCAATGCATGCGAATCGCAGCCCTTCACTTTGGCCAGGGATGTGAAAGCTCGGGATAGTTTCTGGATCAAAGGCCAGACCTATTCCCTGGTTGATATGTTTGGGGCTGGGTTTCCGGACTGTTTCATCGGCGGGACTATCTACCAAGGTTACCTAGACACGTTTAGTTATCACCGGTGGCACGCGCCTGTCTCGGGGAAGGTTGTGAAGGCATACACGATTGACGGGACTTATTGTTCTACGCCCCGAGCCATAGACAAGGATGCTGACGATGGCCAAGAAGGGGTCGAAATTGCGTATCAGGTGTATCTGTCCGCAATGGCGACACGAGCAGTGATCTTCATTCAGTCGGATGACCCGGATATCGGCCTGGTGGGCTTTCTGGGGATTGGTATGGTAGAGATCTCAACGTGTGACATTACTGTGAAAGAAGGGGAGTTGGTCAAGAAGGGAGACCAAATTGGAATGTTTCATTATGGAGGATCGTCCCATTGTGTCGTCTTCCAGAAAGGGGTCAATGTGACGGGATTCCCGGAGATTGGAAGCAAGGAGAACGTGCCTGTCCGGGGCAGATTGGCTGTTTTGCAGCGGTAGGAGACATGGCAAACTACACAACAATAGAGGGAAAGGAACTTAGCATATATCTACGTGCTCCTATGATGTGACATGACCTTGTTTTTGGCAGTTCAAGTTAGATTGTTCGTGGTAGAGCCTCAATGTCTACTACCTTGATCCAACTCTCTCCTATCACCAAACTGCTCGCAATCGCAATGAGCTCAGTCTGGAGAACCTTCTCGCTGGCACTCACAGGCAACTTATCAGGAACCTCGGTCTCTGCACCAGCTCAGAATACATGACCAGGAACCTTCTGGATGGCAATCCGACTTCTCAACTGAACCTTGATGCCCAGGCTATGCTCTTTGCCTCCTACAGTAAGTAAATGAGGCATTCAGATGAACAAAGTGAGGGTTATGACCTAGAGCGCTCTAGGGACTCTTGGTATATAAGCCTGACTCTTTCTTGACTCCCTTCTTCACATATTGCTAACCTGGATTAGTCCGACGTCTTATGGACGACAATATAGTTCGGCCGTCCATGGAATCTTATGCGCGACTTTTCGATCACGATCGGACGAAAGAAGCAGTAGGTGATTTCTGGAGAAAGGTCCAGGCTGCTGCTTCGTAGAGTGATGGCACTGGACGAATTGTTGTCCAAGCTTTGCTGTGTAGAATCAACGGAGGATTAGGAGATGGGAACTCCATACGGAATATACTATCTTTATCTCAAGTGTTTTCTGTATACCTGTTGTCAGACCCCGAGGACTTCTTCCTTGCTTATATCTCCCCCAGCTAAATCTCTCACGCATCATGACTTTCATCTTAGGATCTCTCCCATCGAGCAATATTTTTCATTGTATGTTTTACCAAGAAACCCTTATCCTTCCACCGATCCAAATCGTTCCTCTTCAAGAGACACTGGATATCACCGCAGCAGACTCCCCAGACCAGCAGCGTCTCCAACTCATCCCCGATATCTTGAATTGGATGAAATAGTGGCGATTATTTAAACAATGGATACATGAGGGACAAAAAAGATATCGAACAGAAAAACTCCCACTCCGCATTGTTGAAAGAAACAATACATACAACTTCAGAATGCCACTGCATCAATCACAAAGACTTTGTTCCAGGGGAAAAAAAAAGAAAAGAACGGAAAGGAAAGGAAAAAACATAGCCACAGTTTATAAAGCAGTCATTGAGCCCCTACTGGTTTCATGGCCTGCTTTCTCGTCCTGTTTCAGCTGGTCCCGTCCCCACTTCCAAAAGTTGGCTCCCAAAAGTTGGTCCAAATAGATCCACACAAGGGTTTGCTTTTCAGATAACAGACAGAGCAGTTCCGGTTAGCGCTGGAGAAACGCCATCGCTAGTGTCGAGAATATGATACCTGCGATCTCACTGGATAGTGCGTCTAGTCGCCGACAGGACGCCACGAACGAAGCCAGAATACTATCGACCTTCCCCGATCGTCCCAAGAACACCCCGAGGTAGAGATGAAATGCCTTCGGTCAGTGGCTAGTCTCAGCAAGGAGGAAGTGAGACTGTTAACCCGGGTCCTGCGCATAGGGTTCATCGACCCGGCTGGGAACGAGCCTAGAGACAAAGGCGAGATAATGAGGGCCATCAAGAAACTTCCCTCGGTCCTGCAGAGGCACTGGCTGGATCACTGGATGAACCTCATAGGTCGGGCGCCCGCCGTGGCCCTGTGTGATTTGCATACGAAACTGAACCCCTACATTATTCAATACATATTTGAGCTGCTGCGATGCGAGGTTATCACGCATTTGGAGTGCCTCTACTGGTACCATAGTGTGCTCCGGGATTCTCGCCTTGACGGCGTCGATCTCAAAGTGCGAGATATTGTGTACAGCTTGCGAGATATACATTACATGTGGACCCCCTCTCGACAAGTTATTCAAGGAAGCCCGGTCACGTACCAGCAGAATAAGTGCGAAGCGTGCATTCTAGCCCGGGTTGTCAACGGGCGGAAATTCCTGCAGCATCTCCGGACAGCCCTCCTGAGCCGGACAGCAACCAGGAGGAATCATCGGGTACCGACGTTCCTCCCGTTCGTGGATGAAAGCATAGCCTGCCATGAAGGCTTCATCGATAGGATACATTGGCGCAGCAGCACACTGGCGACAGCCATGAAGCGTCAGCGGAAACATGCCCACCGGGCTCGGATGATGTCTAACCCTATGGCGAGTCTCAAACAAGAGACCTCAAAAGCCACAGATGAGGTTGTAGTCCCCATTGGCATAGACCCGGAGGTTCTCGAGTCATTTCACGGGGGACGGCAAAAGGACGGAAACCATGGTGAACCCTACACAGCATCTGAGCTGGTGCCCAAAAGACACGATAGTGACACCGACACCCTTGCAGGAATAGTCGGGTTGTACAACGAGCCTCAACCTTTGAACTGGATATCCTCTCCCATATCCTGTGCGATGGAGAGTCAATCAGATGTCTCTTCTGTCACTTACACCGACGAATCACCCTCTCATGTGTCACCTACCTCGCCTAAGGACAACCCGTGGCTCGCTCCATTAACTTCCACACCAGATCCGTTGCCTGGTCGTTCACCATCAATCCACAAGAGAAAAGCACCAATAGAAAAACCCGCGGATGATGTCGATGATGGATATACAAGCAGGTACATCCCTCCCCGGAAAATGCCCAACTGGAAGCATGTGCTGGGTAGATCCAACTCCTTGGACCTATTTTCCACCGGAGGTCAAAGCCTCTACTGGGAAGAACCCCCAGGGGATGACGGATGTGAGCAGATAGCGGCCCAATACCGCAATCTGCTCAGCCCAGTTCAGCCATACTACGAATCGGAACCCGATGAACGGTTCTCCCAGTCAGATTACGAAGGCAATCCAATAGGAAACCGGGAAAGTCAAGATACCAACTGGAGCTTTCTATTTAGATCCTAGGGATGCTTCTAAAAGAATAAGGTAGGATGTGATCACATCGGCCTGAACGCCGCCTGGGTTCCAACGCTGCGTCGTTTGGGAGATATACACACGGTGTTGATCAAGCATCTGTTGTGCATTCAGAACATAACCTAGTATGTAATTCATAATACAATCAAAAGAAGAAAAAACGTTCTTTGAGAAATAAAAAAAAAGCAAAGGGCTCTGGAGAAAGTCAAAGAAAAAAGATCGAAAAGAAAGGTAGTGATGGGCCCTGCGGTCCAAACCCATTGCCATAAATCATCCTAATTATAATGAGTTTACCACCAAAGAGAAGTCATTGTACAAGCCAACATATACTCATGATCCCCAATATTAATACTAACAATAGTCCTGAAAGTTCGGAGGCGTCCTGCCCCTCCGAAGCCCTTCAATGTAACAAAAAAGTGTCGAGAAAGAAGATATTAGGATTATAAAAATATTCACCGAGAAGAGAATACCCGAGGAGAGGAAAGGTAGCGAAAGGTACAGAAGAAGCCAGAAGGTGAGGACTAGAGGACGCTGCTGGCCACCCCGTGCTTCGAGCCCTTCAGGCCGTCAAAGGTCGCCGTCCTTTTGCGCAATCGTGATCGTGCAGTTGTGTCTGCCGGCTCATCCGATGAGACCGTAGCGGAAGACGATACGCCCTCTCCCTTGGCTCGAACCTCGTGAACGCTGTCGTCGTCCAGCTTCCTCTGTGCTGCGTCACGACCCCGCTCATAACGAAGTTTAACATCACCCTTCCATTGAGTTTCGAGAAGCCGGTCCCAGATGGTGAAGAAGGGCTGGGAGAAGTTGGTCTTGATACCCCAGCTCTGATGGTGAATGTCATGGTAGGCGGCATTGTTGGAAGTAAAGTGCTGCAAGGGGTCCCAGGGGAACGCATAACCGCAGTGATCGTCAACGGTCTTGATAGTCGAACAGGTGAAAAACCACATGGCCTGGCGGTTGGTCATTCTAGCGGTCAAGAACGCAACACCAGTACCGGCAGTGTCGAGAAGGAATCCCTCCACGGGATGGTTGTACAAAGCACCGAACGCATATGGGACGTATAGGCGGTGGTGGCGCGAGTGGAAGGTGACTACCAAACCAGTTAGATCATCGAGCGAGAGGTGAAGAAGCTAGATATAGGACTTGCCATAAAGCCAACGGTTCAAGTGCATGGCACGATGGAGGAAATACTGCCAGGTGTCCACGACACATACACCCCAGACAAACTGCACCGTAGGAATGAAGTACCAGTAGATGAAGCTAGCCACGGACAATTCCCAACCGGCGAATGCCGGAGCGATGGCTTCGACGCCATTCTCCAAGACCAAGGTTTGGGTGAGTCCCGGATAGCGTCCACCGGCGAGAACAGCTCCCAGTATCGTATGGCCATTCTTCGTCAGAGATTTCGCCAGTCCGATCGAGTCAATGCCGAACGCCGCCAACAAACGTGGGAGGGCCCTTTGCAGGAGGCGGACACGCTGGGCCCAGACTGCCACATCATATTCCTCTTTCCCAAAGCATTCCACGGGATCGAAGTACGACATCGCCATACCGGCTATGGTTTGAATTATCTGTTGTAGAACGACATCCTTCACGACTTCCCAACGCGATACGTGGTTCCTTTTGAGGACCTCCGCTGGAGTATGCAAACGGTACTGGGGAAATAAGTCGTAGACATCAATGTAGTGATAGACCATGGATAAGGCCCAGTAAGCGATAATCGGTAGGATCAGCGCCAAGATGTTATCAGGAATCGGAGATAAAAGAGGTGGACGTGGTGTCAAGGTATACGCCGGAAGAGGCGGGAGGTCATAGACCACCGACGCATTGACTGCCATGGTCAAGACAACAGCCAGCCGATGTTAGAAGGTGTTGAAGATACAGCAGGAAAGGTTTGGACGATCAACACATGGGTTGGAGGTTGACGGGTCACGCGGTCTAAACAGGGCGGAGCCAAAAAAGAATATCGATAACAGAGAGAGAAGAAGAGAACAGAAAAAAAAAGAGGTACTAGTAGTATACAAGGGCCGCGGTTGCTGGATCCGGATCTTTCGCGATCCACAATTTAGGGGAGGCGAACGGAGAATGCACGAACCGAGGGGCCGGAGATGCGTTCGGACGTGGGAGGTCCGAAGACGAGATGAATGGCAGAAAGGACGGGTATCAATTCGGAGCCGAACAGGATAGTCGGAGCAAGGTAAAGAGCGTCACCTGTGGGCACTGGGCACACGGGAGAGGTCGTCGATAGATATAAAGGAAGGGAATGCGCGATGGGGAGACAAAAGTTGAAGTGGCACCACGGGAAGTGCCAGGCGACCGATAATCTGATCGATAATACGGCCGTGTTTCGTACCCGTCATTTGGCACTGGTTTCCCGGTTGTACATGGGTCATTTTGGTATTCGAACGGTATTCCCACCTCTATGGAGGGTGGTCTGCATGGTTGGCCGATCACCCCTGATGAACTGTAGTTGCAGCCTAATGACTCAGGCATCATCCATAATCTTATGTAAGATTTGACAGTTCCCGGTAGTTACCTAGTTAAGTTAGTTAACTATCTATATAATAGAACCAGCAAACAAACGCCGATTGAGATCGTTTTACCCCTCTATGGGCCGCTAATGTCACTGGACTGATTTTCTAGAGATTCCTACCTTCCCTGCTGAATTGAGTAGACATTGTGCTTGTATTCCTCGCCCACTGTCAGGTGCCCCCAAGCAAACTTGATCGGGCCAGACAAGTCCACCAGTCCCAATCGGGCGTTAGCGTCGGTTTGCTGCCCCTCGAAACCAACCAGCGAAGAACGAGGGAAAAGAAAAAAAAAAAAAAAAAATTAACCCCACCAAAAAGGTTGGTCAAGAAAAACGGGTGGCACTAAAACTTCAAATATTAGGATTCCCCTCTTTCTTCCTTCTCCTTCCGTGTGCCATTTCACTCTCATTTCCTCATCTTCGTCTTTTTTTCTTGTTACTTAGGTTGATTCCTATTCATCTATCAAAATGATCATCTACAAGGTATGACCTTTTCTTCTCCGAGGACTGGAATTACCCCACTTTTTCCATGATTGCCAATGTCAACAATGCTTGAAGACATGCAATCCGCTGCGTTAGGCCCACATCGGATAGGTGAATGAGATACTGACAAGTACTTCTTGCTATAGGATATCTTCTCTGACGATGAGCTTGTCTCTGACACCTTCGATCTCAAGGAGGTCGAAGGTGTCCTCTTCGAGTGCGACTGCAAGAACATTACGAAGAAGGCGAACGAAGACATCCAGCTCGAGGGCGCCAACCCCTCTGCTGAGGGTGGTGACGAGGACGCTGGCGGTGATGATGGAACCATTCAGGTCCTCGACATTGTGGACCAGTTCCGTCTCCAGGAATACCCCAAGATGTCCAAGGATGATTACAAGAAATACATCAAGGGCAAGCCTCACAAGATCACCCCAAAACATGTTAGAGCATGAACGTTAACATTCTCTCCAGGCTACATGAAGAAGGTCCTCAGCAAACTTGAGGAGACCAAGGCCTCCAAGGAGACGATCGACGAGTTCAAGAAAGCTGCCCCGGCCGCCGTCAAGAAGATCGTTGCCAACTGCGACAACTACGATTTCTTCGTTGGTGAATCCTTTGATGCTGAGGCTATGTACGCTCAACCCTCATCTCTTTCCAGTGATCTTCTCATTGTCAGCACCCACTAACATATTCACAGGCTTGTCCTTATTGACTACCGCGAGGACGGTGTCACCCCCTACGCCACTCTCTGGAAGCACGGCCTTAAGGAGATGAAGGTCTAGGTTACAGTTTGCTGCGAATAATGTCTTGAATGAAAGAAGGAAGGTGCTGGAGAACGCGATTATCCTAATCCTGACAGAGCAAGTGAGACTGGGCAATCCCTTCGAGGAACCCCTCAGTCTCACCTCCTAGTCTTCTACTATAGCTCCCTCTATATCGCTTCCTCAGTATCCTGCTTGAGATCAGTCACGCCTCATGAATCCCAAAGCTGTTATGTCTCTTTCTGCATTATCATCTGCCCTACACTAGGACATCAAAACTTATATACCGCCCGCTTTTCTCCGCCATTCCATCCAGAATTTGGATAGGTGAAAAAAAATATCAGATTCACCCTGTTATTCAGGACTATCGGTTTTTTTTAACTCTCTTCTACCCCGAGTATGCGTAGTATGTCGTAAACAGGAGTGTGGCTTCGTTCATAAAAACTTATATACAAAACGACCAGGTATATGTACCGTAGAATACAAGAAATAAACAAACGCCTCTAAATTCCCCAAACAGGATGGTTCAGAACAAATAGAGCATCAACAGTATCCAACCCAATCGGGGCCAGGAATACTGCCCAATCCCGTTTCACTGCCCCCCAGACTCGCCGTCCGACTCCCGCCACCCATGCCACCGCCAAGATCCCCAAACTCGAACCCAGCCACGGGATCTAGTTCCATGAGCTCGTCGGCGACGGGGAGGTGCTGGCCGAAGACCGCGTCCCACTGGTCCCAGTCGAAGTTCAGGTTCGGGTCCATCATGGAGGGAGGCGTTGGGCCGGCGGCCATGGACTGGGCGCTAGGCGAAGCCAGGTCCATGAAAGACAAGGGCGGGGGTGGAGTGGAGGCAAGAGGGATGGCGGCGCTCAGGGGTGGGATGATGCGGTCAGGAGAGGAGATGATGGAAGCAGGGGGAGGAGTGTCGACCGTCGCATTGGCCTTGGCTGCGGGTGACTGGGGAATCTGGGGCGTCGGCAGATTTGGGGGCGTGTCTGGGATGGAAGTTGGGGCAGAAGTTTGGGGTACCTGGTATCGAAGGGGACTGGGTCGGATGGTGGAGACCGGGTTGGGGAGCATGTGCGAGCGTGTCATGTTGTAGAACATCTTCGAGAAGTCGGCGAGTTGTTGTCGCGACGTCATGGTGGACATCGAGGGAGTCGGCGCTGTAGAGCCGCTATTGGCATAATATGGATTGGAGGCGCAGGGATATTCGTCCGGTCCGGATGCTGCACCGGCTTGGATCTGTGCTTGCTCGGTCCATAGCTTATGTGGATCCAGACCGGCTTTCTGCCACGCTTTCTGACGTAGCCTGCGAATCATATCCCATGCTTCGCGGCCGCCGTCTTTCAGTGGCCGTTGGGCTGAGATGCCGTCCTCGCCGCCGACAACACCGCCATCTGGCCCGGTGAGTGAAAAGATCTTGTCGATGAATGCCCTTGACTTGGGTGCCTCGGGGCTATAAGGCCGTTCGTAAAGATCGATTAGCATGATCATAGCGGCATGCATTGGCTGGTGGTTCCCCGGCCAGCTCCATTGAAACGGTTGAAAGTCAGGGTCGGTGGCAAGGGATATGAATTTCTCCATAAAGCCGTGGCAATGGCGGAGAGCACTATTTTGAGGTCAGAACAGAACAGAACAGCCTTGTTTCCGCAACGCGTCATCTGATCATACCTATGTCTTGCCGCTGGCCAAATACGGCTCTTAGCGTTCTTCAGGAACGGTTGGTAGGCGACACAGAACGCCTTGCGATACGTTAAGAAACGGTCTCTCAAAAGTTGATGTTAGGGACACTCACCTTATCAATAAAGAGTGAGAGCAGGATCCTGGCCCATTTATGAAAAGACACGAGAACAGGAGAGTGATATTGTTCCGTACAACGACCGGGTCCTTCTCCGGGAAGTTCCAAGTCGCTCGTTCTCATCTCTACCGGAGAGACCGAAAACGAAAGCGATCTGTTATTAGCGCTGGAAGACAGCTGGTAGTTTTCAATTTCTGGGATCCGATCGATTATAGAATTGAGTTTGAGTTGCAGGTCGAGGAGGATTGATCGGAGCTCCTCCATATCCCTGCGCGTCACGGGTTTCGTGCCCAGTTGAATCTTCAATATCCGACGGACGGCGCCTATGATTGTCCACGTTAATACTATCGATCGTAATGCAATAGAGGTGTAACTTACGGGCCATGACATATTTGCCCCTGGCTGATAAGTAATACACGTTGACCATAGATGGTCCACCGCACAAAGTTGGATCATCCGGATTGTCAGGAGACCGCATACCGGATGCCACCAGTTCCTCGTATTTCTCAGCCTCTGGTGTCCCTAGAAGTGTGTCTTTCACCTCGCTGGCATCACGGACATCCCAGTAGTTCTCATCGCTGACCAAGGGAGGTAGCCCGCTAGACATAGCAACAACGCCATCCATATGTACGATATGCCACCATATTCGTCGCCGATACTCGGCTTCATAGGGTTTAATCCCAAATTTAGCAGGATCTCGGTGCAGGCCCATCGTCTGTGCTACTCTCATGGCCAGACTAATGAACAGACTGCTGGTTAACGGCTCTTCCTCCTTTGAAAGTATCGTTTGGACCAGGAGATACGCAGCCAAACCCTGTAGCGAAGGGCTGCGCGGAAACGATATCTTCGTCAACCACCGTGTGACCTCGTCGTTGAAAGTTTTAGAAAGTGCGGATCGCGAAGAGACATTGAATTCAGCCTTGATGGTCCGGATCGATATTGTAACCGACCCACCGTACCAAATAGCGTAAAGCAGCGGAATAAACGAAGGGTCCGGGCAAGGATCCCCAGAATAGCTGCTGTAATCGTACCAGTCCCAGAAGGAATTGTATAGCTTCAAGATTGTTGGGGGATGAATCACTGGGCTGATAGCATGTATTCCAGACATGAATCCTTTGTACAGAATATGACTCTGTCGTTTCGTCGGCACATGGTCGAGCATTTCTGGTTCGACATGCTTCTCTTTCACCGATGGGGAATCACCCGTAGGGAAAAGCACCGACTTCTGGAATTCTTCACCACATACTCGATCCCGTGAGACTCCACCAGGGCTATCAATTGATGCCTTCCACGGACTACCTGCTGTTTTCGCTATCGTATCCGTCATGTTTTCGTCAGCAGAGCTTTCGTTAGCCGTATTGTCCTGATGCGAGCGACTCTGGTACTTGAGTAACTGATTAAGCTCATTGATCTGCGAGTGTCAGTCTATATCATATAAAGTACTAAAGTATAGCTTGTATCATACCTCATGGGATATATAAGCCCAGTAGGTTGTCCCAACATATCTAACAATGAATCAGCTCCACCTGTACGCAAGTGAGGAACGTGTGACGTACCTCGACCGACCCCCATCCTCCAAGCTCAGATGACCCAGATTCAAGCTACCCACCGGATCCACCAAGTCAGTAGCAAGGCCAGCGGGAATCGGAAACTCATCACTCGAATCCGTACGGCGGGGGCTATCTGGACGAGACGCGCCCGCAGCCTTCACGGGCGCGCCATTCCCCAGTCGAGCTTCACCCTTCCCAGCTTCCAGATTGACATTTTGAGCCAGCAAAAGCCGCTGTTCCGCATCCAAAGGTCCGTTGGACTTGCTGAGCCGCTCAATCATCGACGTAAGTTTATCCAACCGCGCTTCAATCGCCTGCGACCCGTACTTCTGCTCGGGAGACCCAGCCTGCCTCAGATGCCCGTAAAGCGAGCCAATATCGTCGATATCCTCGTCCAGCGGTCGCGAAGACTCCCTCCGTCGCTTGATACCGTGTCCACCTGCTGTTTGGCCATGGCGCGACCCGGTGTCTTTGTGTGGCGCAGCATCGTAGATGCACTCGGTTCCGTTCTTCACACAATTTCCGCAAATAGGATGCACCTAGTGGCCGTTCAGCACATTGTGTCTCGCTATGAATCTCACCAGGAAGGGTGGCGTACCTTGTCGCATTTCACTTTGCGCCTCCGACAAGTATGACAGCTGTAGCTGGCGCGATTTCGGGTAATTTGACGAGCTCCGGCCTTTGTCGAGGACCGGGACGCAGTCGACTGGGGGGTAGAGACTGGCGCGGAGGTCCTATTCAGCTGGGCCTGGGCGGTCGCGCCCGGATTCGAAAGCCCATAGCCGGGCGACGTGCTTGTTGGGCTCGTGTCCATAATCCCTTAATTGCAGTGGTGGGGTTCTTCAAACGTCAACGGGACCGCACAGTGGATTCATCGGGAACGGCGCAAGCGTCACGACGAGTCAGATCATAGGGGCGAAGGTGTAGAAATAGTCGAAATCAATACTGGGGCATCCCACGGTGCAATATCGAGTGTTTGGTTGAAATGATGGTGGCCGAGGCTGGTTTATGTCTGGGGTAAAGTCCGCGTTATCGGTGACGATCGATTTGGTTCCGATGGCCAATCAGATGAGGCTTATACGGAATTCGGCGACGGCCAGACCATGGATTATTACTAGTAGTACTAGTATGCTCAAAAGCACGACCTTGAGGGATATCTAGGTTATTCCGTTTCTATGAGAGTATATTGTCTACATGGACATCCTCCGGTAGAACCCAAATAATATCGGTTATAACCTGCATGGCATGAGTCACATCTCTGGGTATATCAAACGGGTATGTATGTATCTATGGCTTAGGGTCGCAAGAGCGTTTCAGCATCTCACACTGCAACTATTTACTCTGTACCGCACTAATACCAGACACACGGTGGTCGGCTGAAAGTGCTTCGCAATACCATTTTCGATTTCAACTTGGTATCAGAGAAGAGCATGGAAGCCCTCTATCGGTGTAAACAAACGCCTTACGCCCGTACAATGCAGCCAAAAACGTGTACACAATATGGACAGGTAGACAATCGTAATAACTCCATATGGCAGGCCACCTTAGGCCTTCCCTTTCTTCTTGTCCTTCTTTTTCTTCTCCTTCTCGCCACTGCCTCCGGACGGTTCTCCTCCTCCCATCATCTCGGCCAGCCCGGCGGGCATTCCAGGAATCTGAGGCATTCCTGGCATACCCTGCATGTTCTGCATCTCGGCCATAGCATCCTTGAGCGGGTTATCGCTGACTCCGCCGCCGCTGTAGGCAGGCGAGTGGATCGGAAGAATTGTGCCGATCTTCCATCCGCGGGGAGCAGGAGGAGCAGGGGGAAGCTTGTCTGGCATGGGAAGGCCACTGATTCTCAGCCGGTAAGGGGATTTGTCGGTTGTTGGGTGAGCTTTAAGATACTGGGCCACGAGGATGTAAAGGTGGTGTTCTGAAGACCAGTTAGCAACATATCCTAGGCTAGCATCGGGACGTTCCCCAAATCCAGGCTTATAGCATAATAGAAGGAAGCCAAGGAGGAGAACGAAGAGAAAAACGCACTATTCTTAATCTTTGGGTTTGCCAGTGTCCCATCCTCGTCCTTCACCAGCACGCGCACTCGGCCTGGGTTCGCCCAATCTTTCGGGTGGAGTTTTTCCGGCTCGAATCCAACTTGCAATCCCAGCATCTGCGCAGCATCGACGATGTCTCGAGCCAATGGGTTCTCCACCGCCAGCTCTGCGCCGACCTTGCGGCCCTCTGCGCGGCTTCGCGATTTGTCGAAGTAGACGGGATACAGGCACTGGTAGTGTTTCGGGATTTCGCGACGCGGTTCAGGGGCTGGCCTCATTGGTATCGACGAGGAGCCCTGGGGAGAGATACCTGCGGCGGAGAGGAGGGATTCATTGGCGAAGTTGGAGGGCGTGGAGTCGGAGGGGAAAACCTCATCAGGATCGGAGTCGTACACCTCCTCTACCTGTGCGTGTCGCGACATGGCAATTTCAATCGATGGAGAGTATACGGGAGCGAAGGGTTAAGGGGACAAACGGATTGAATTTGGCGAGTAGAGGGGAGGGTTGGGGTAACTGTTAGCCTATGTTGGCCTTTCTGTGCGGAATGGAGTTTTAGTGGCTCCAGTGCGGAGCGGAGAGTTTCCACCGCCCACACCAGCGATAAGAGCTGGTCAGGTACAGCATCTGACTTTGGTGGATGGTTCTTGCGTGAAACATAGAGAAAGGTATTTTATAATGAGGTTTACTTGTTGAGTGTTTTCTTATTCAAATCTTCTCTATTGATGAGCACTACATATAGTGCGGTATCAATACACTACTATTCTTGCAATAGTCAAGCTACAGAAAATATATATTGCCGAGGATACAACATGATTCACGGACTCGCAGATAATTTGAGCAAATTGTATTTTACGATGTCAAAGTTAAAAGTACATTCAATTTTGTTGACAAGGTGAATGATTGCCGACGTGTTAACAATTTCTGACTCTTAACAGAGGAAAAGGAGAATGAAAGTATATAGTAGTGAACTCGAAGCGTAAAGACACTGAGAAGTCTACCCACAACGAATATTTGAGATATACTATGGCTCATTATTGTCAGTCTAGAATAAAAATCTAGCCATATAGTCTGCTACTTATTCGCCAGTCAGATCAAATGAGGCTTGCCTTAAGTAGAGCTAGCCTCAGTCATCATGTGTACGCCCATTCCCTCAATCAGTTGAACAGACTCAATGCTGAGAGACTCGTTTTTACCAATCTGGGAAACATACGCAATCAGCAGTGAGTCACAGCAATTGCCAAATTGCAACGATATCATGCGAGTATCTACATCGAGTAGCACCGAACAGTCGGGCCGTCGGTAGGTGCGGCCAACCATCCGCTCGGGATCTCCATCGGCATGCCGACACCCCCGCCCTACCCCACAAATCATCAAGTTCAAGATAAGGCCTGAAGGCCAGAGTCCTGACATAAAGACTAATGTATTCCTCCGTATGAGTGAAAGCTAGATTCTACTTCGCATTCTTACATTTTCTAAATCGTCAACCCTGATTGTTCTCGGTACTTGACCAATTGCCTTTGTTGATTACCAGCCCTCGTCATCAACCAGTAGATTCAGTCATGGCTGAAGGAATAAAGACTAGCGCCGTCCTTCACCGCGATACCCGCTTCCACCCCAAGAAAGCAATTGATGGCAAAGGCTGCTACCTCTTCCTCGAAGATGGCACCAAGTTCCTCGACTCGACCGGTGGCGCAGCCGTATCCTGCCTTGGCCACGGTCACGAAAAGGTCAGGCAAGCCATCATCGATCAAACCAACAAGATATCATATTGCCACACGGCGTTCTTTAGTACCGAAGTGACCGAAGAGCTGGCTCAATTCCTGGTCGATTCAACAGGCGGCAAGCTGTCGAAGGTGTATATGGTTAGTTCCGGTATGGTATACGCCCCAATCCACAGATATAGAACTAACACACCTCGACTAGGCTCCGAGGCAGTTGAAGCGGCATTGAAATTAGCTCGACAGTATTTCCTCGAGCTCCCCACACCCCAGCCTCAACGCACCCGGTTCATTGCCAGGAAGCCCTCTTATCATGGGATCACCTTGGGCGCACTAGGGGTGGGAGGACACGTCCTTCGACGACAACCCTTTGAGCCATTGCTCCCCCCAAACACCTCCCATGTGTCCCCTTGTTACTCTTACCGGGGCAAAAAAAATGGCGAAACAGATGAGGACTACGTTGCTCGACTTGCTGCAGAGTTAGACGCCGAATTTCAACGTGTTGGGCCGGAGAACGTCTGTGCTTTTGTTGCGGAGCCGGTTGTCGGAGCTGTGAGTATCATATCCCTACTCTGGACTTTTACCCTTCCATAAAGCAGGAAACCTAACACTTGGATCCTCACAGGCATTGGGCGCCGTGCCCGCCGTGCCCGGCTACTTTAAAGCCATGAAAGCAGTGTGCGAGAAATACGGAGCGCTTCTCATCCTCGACGAAGTAATGAGTGGGATGGGTCGCTGTGGGACACTACACGCATGGGAACAAGAAGGCGTAGTTCCTGACCTACAGACTATCGGCAAAGGCCTTGGAGGCGGCTATGCTCCCGTATCTGGTCTTCTGATCGGAGAGAAGATCGTGGAAACATTGGATAAAGGCACAGGCGTTTTCCGTCACGGACAGACATACCAAGGCCACCCTATGTCGTGTGCTGCTGCTCTAGCTGTGCAGAAGGTCATCCAAGAAGAGAACTTACTAGAGAATGTGCGGGATATGGGAGTTTACTTGGAAAGGCAGCTTAAAGCTCGGCTGGGAGATCACCCATATGTGGGGGATATTCGTGGGAAGGGGCTATTTTGGGGGGTAAGTTTTCTAAGATACCTTGGAATCTGTGCGGATCTTTCTATTCAGGAAGTCTAACGAATGGGCATCATAGATTGAGTTCGTTAAGGACAAATTCACTAAAGAGCCCTTTAGCCCCGAGCTGGGGGTAGCCGCTCATATCCAGGAAACTGGGTTGGACCCGACATACGGAATCTCGTTGTATGCGGCTACAGGGTGTGTAGATGGAACGCGGGGAGACCATGTCCTCCTCGCACCGCCGTATAATGTGACGAAGGATGAGATTGATCTTATTGTGGAAACTACTGCTAGAGTCCTGGATCAAGTTTTCACTAAGGTGGTTAAGGTCTGAGCGACTGTCATGGTTATTCAAGGAGTCAAGCACTGTAGCGAGATCAATAAACGTATACAACGATGGATCTGGTAGTATGAGCTGGTGCCGATTTAGAGTATATGTGATGAAAGTACAACGCGTACTCAGTCAACCTAACCCAAACACTCAGCTGGGTATTCACTTTATTGAGCCGTGGAACAACCGAGAAATCTATAATACACAACATATAATGGTCACATTAGGCAGTCGCATCAATCTCAGCCCCATTGGAAGCAAGCATTTCTTTCAGCTTCTCCTTGGTTTCTCCATTTGTTACAGTAGCAGATGGAGGGCCCTCAGCCCACATGCTAGCAACTGTTTCCACCGCACGTTCGATGACGACTCGAACCCTGTCTCTCATCACCGCATTGGTACACTCAACTTCAAGATCCTCAAGCCATACCCGCGCAACGTTCTTGTCGACTCTGATCTCAATTCCGGGAACCGGGATTCCCAGAGCGTGAAGTCGCGCAAGTTCAGCGGCTTCCAGTTCAGCTAAACTTTCGTCGTCGTCTTCCTCTTCTTCTTTAGGGGTCTGCTCCGTAGCAGTTTCGTTATTCGCTGCCCCGTTGGTAAGTTGAGTAGCGGGTAGTCGTGGACGCTCAATGGGTGATATGTCCGATCCGAACTGTGCCTCAAGCATCATGAGAAGGCGTGCGAAACGTTCTTCAGCGCCGAGCTGTGAATGAGGGTTAGGGAGTTCAAGGGTGTCGTGATGGTGGTGGTGATGGTGCTTTTGCTTGGCAGACTCTGCGAGATGGTGTCAGTAAGTAAAAGTGGTCACCTAAATGGTGTGGAATGTGTGACATACG